TGAGTGTGGATGTCTGTGTAGTGCAGGCAAAATTCATGACAGGTTGCGTATATTTGCGTGCGCCTGGCTTCTGGGACTGTGTATGTATCCGCATCCAAGTGAGTATCTGCCCGAACCTGAGTCCAACTGAAGATGTATAACAGCATATTCATGCCCACGTGTGTGTAAGTGTGTGTGTGTGTATTTATGCACATGTTTATATATCTCTCCCTGTCTGTGTGAACTGTCTCTCTCTCTTTTCCATATGTACCTAGGACAGAGGGAAATCTATATCAGTCAGGATGCTTTATCCTATAATGTGTCAGAAACCCAACTCAAATGGGTAGAACAAAAATGAATTTATTATGTCACAGTAAAAAGTGCATTGGCAGGGCAGCTCCAAAACTCATTCATTCATTCATTCAACAATGTCATTGGGGAACCAGGTTCTTTCCATTTCTGTTGACTGATTCTTACTGTGGCTACCTCACGGTCTCAAGACAGCAGCCATGGCTCCAGCTTTCACACAAACAATATTCTCCAAGTCATAACAAACACCCCAAACTCAGTGGAGTAAGACAACAGCTATCTTATAATGCTCACAGATTCTGTGGGTCACGAAATCGGACAGGGTCCAGCGTGGATCACTTGCCTCTTCAGTTTGGAGTGGCCATGAGACTAAAGGGCTTCTTAAGTGAGTTAATTTATGTAAAGAATTGAAAACAATTCTTGGCACGGGTTAAGCCCCATATATGCGTTTATTGCTGTCATTTTTATTATTTTCGGATTTTTTTCTTCCCTAACACAAAGAAAACTCTTCCATTTGTTCCCTTCCTTCCTGCTTAGTTCATTGGTATAAGGATGAGAGACCTGGAGCTGTGGTGGCCAATGAGGCAGCAAGCCTAGAATATGAAACTGTTCTTCCAAGGAAGGTGGAACAAAAGAGTAGGAGAATGGGTCATTGGTGATATCAATAAGCTGTTGCATTAACGGCTCCAAACTCCCAACTCCAGACATATTAAATGAGATAACCAAATATCTTGAGTCATGTTAATTGGGTTTTGTTTCTTCAGCCAAATGTATCCTCAAAAATCCATCTCTGTATGCCCAGCAAAGAACCCAGAGAAAGAGACCAATTATTTGATAATAAAAATTTGAATCATGTAGGACATGTCTGAGTTCAGGCATATACCCCTTTTCAGTATGAGTGATGTAATTGAAACAAGGTTGCAAACCTCTGCTTGGAGATGCCAAGGCCTAACAAAGAAATTTTGAACTGGATATACTTTGGTTTGCCTGCCCAGTATCCATTTCACCTGGTAAAGCTTCTCAATTTTCCTTTGCGACATGACCCCCCTTTCCCATTCCCTCATTGGTTGGACACAAGACTCAGGTGTGCCCAGTCAGAGCACTCCATCTCCAGAGTAAAGTGACCAGTCTTCCCTTGCCTCCCTCATGACAGCCTTTGCATAAGCTGTTCCCTCTGCTTGGGACATGTCCCCACTACTCTCCCACCACTACCACGTCTTCATCTAATTTCCACTCATTCCCTATGTCTCAGTAATATAAATTCCTCCACCAAAAATCCTTCTGAGTGGGCTTCCCTGGTGGCGCGGTGGTTGGGAGTCTGTCTGCCGATGCAGGGGACGAGGGTTCGTGCCCCGGTCCGGGAGGATCCCACATGCCGCGGAGCAGCTGGGCCCGTGAACCATGGCCGCTAGGCCTGCGCGTCCGGAGCTTGTGCTCCGCAACGGGAGAGGCCACGACAGTGAGAGGCCCGCGTACCGCAAAAACAAAAACAAAATCCTTCTGAGTGGAGCACTGGGGTTTCTATTGCTTTTATATGCCCAATAAGTTTTCCCATCCTACTTTCCCAGTGACTATTTAGGTTCAACCATATGAAATTGCCAATGTTCTGCCATTTCTAACCTACAAAACTGGAAATTTCATATGGTTCACCCTAATATTTTTAGCACCTCCCCCTTCCCCAGGCCAAACGAACTGGACATGTGACCCCAACCTGGCCAGTCAAAGCATTCCATTTCTTTGGATATCACAATCAATGCAGGGGTGGCATGTGTCCCCAGTCAGGCCAATCAGAGCCCTTCCCTGGGATTTTTTTTTTTCATTTAGGACTGGAGATTTTGCCATTTTACCTCTGGGCTGTGGTGCTAGAAGGATTGAGTCTGTGCCTGTAAATAAATGGCCATTTTCCCAACTCAGATAAATCTGAGTTGAGACAAGCAGAGAAGAGAAATGAATGGGAAGAGTGTCATGATGGAGTTGAGCCTGGGTTCCAGTCTCTAAGGCCAAGTTCCTGGTAGCTTTACCCTTGATTGTCTCCTTCCTAGCTACACGAGCCAACAAATGCACACTTTTTACACGTAATCCAGTTAAGCTGACTTCCTGTCACTTGCTACCAAGACTCTTACACACTTCCCTGAACCTCCAGGCAGGATCAGGCAGCTCTCCTGGGCTCTGATAGGCTTTATGTTTCTCCCACTGCAGCCCTATTGCCATATCTGTCTGCCTGAGCTCCAAGAGGGCAGGAACTGGAGCTGTCTTGGTCAGTCGGTCACTGTTGACCAATTGGTCACTGCTGGGTCACCAGTGCCCATCACAGGGCCAGGGCACAGAGCAGATGTTCCAATACTCCCCTCGAATGATACCATGCCCTCTCTCACTAATGTACCTGTTCTTGGGTTTAAAGCTCTCAATTTTGGGAAAAAACAAAACCAAGCATGTCATTGGCATTGATAAATACTTCTCTGTTAAATGAAAGACCTGAAGTTACAGGGGAAGGAAGGTGATGCCTGTCATCCAAAGGGCTGAACCAGGGACCATGTGGGTCCCAAATGTGCCGATGGGTGGATGCCAAGTTCTGAGGTGGCAGTTCCTGATTTTGTTTTGAAGACAGGCACACCCTGCTCGAAGCTGGATTCTCCATGGAAATCAGGCCATATACTGCCCCAGCTGAAAACACTCCACTGGCTTCCCACAGCTCTGAGAATAAAATCTTTACTCTTGACCACAGCCCACAAGGCTCTGCAGAACCTGCTCCCTGCTTGCCTCTCCCACTTACTCTCCTCTCACTCTCCCCCTTATTCCAGTCCAGACACGCTATACCTCCAACACACCAAGCACACTCCTGCCTCAGGGGCTTTGTACATGCTCTTCTCTTTGCCAGGAATGCTCTTCCCACAATGGATTTCTTCAGCTCCAACATCACCTTCCTTGACCTTCTATCCTAAAGTAAGCCTCTCAGTCATCCCATCCCAGCATCCTGTTTTCATTCTCAACGTGACACTTATTCACTACCAGACACTCATTATTTACTTGCTTGATTACCGTCTCCTCGCTCCATGGGGGCAGGGGTTTCTCGTTTTGTCTATTTTGTTCACTGTTGTATCCCCTGCACAGGGCCAGGTACATAGTACATGCTCAAGAAAGCTTTATCAGGTGGATCAGAGACAATATAGTCAGATGGTTAGGTGTGCAGGATTTGGAGGCAGTAAACTTTCCAATCATGGCTCTGCCGTTTACTGCCTGCATGATCTTGGGCAAGTCCTTACCTCTCTGAACTTCAGTTTCCTTATCTAAAAAAAGGGGGTACACAAGGCCTCTTGCCTTCTGAGATGGCCCACACTCTGTCTGTGGAGCGTGTTTCTAAGTAAACCCACTTCTTACCTATCCAAAAATAAATAAGAGGGTGCACACACCGCACACATCTGTTGCAGAGTATAGATGTAATCATGCTTACTGTCTTAAGTCCATTTTGTGAGTGCTATGTGCCAGGGGCTGAGCTGCACACTCTCTATTCATGCATCAGGGAGGGTTTGTGAGCACAGTGCCTGGTGTGTGGGAAGCCCTCAGTACCCAGGAGTCGTGATGACTGAGATAGATAAGTGTGGCTAGGCCACTGGGTGATTCTGGCCTGTGATTCTCTGGTGCCTCTGTCCTTGCTGCCTACCACCCTGTCTGCCCAGATCCATTCCCCTCCCTCCTGCTCTGTTTCTATTTCTGTCTTTCTCTCCTCCTCCCCAGGCCTCAGGAGGCCCCTGGCTGGCATGAGGCCTTCTTCCTTCTTCCCCAGGATTGGGAAAGAGTTTTCACTGCAGGGCCCACACGCCGAAACAACTTCCCTTCCCCAGCCACAGCCCACATCTTCACCTGAGAAACTCCCCTCCCCACACCAAGCCCTGCGCCCTAAGCAGACCCCTTCTCTACCTAAGAGCCCTCAGATTCCAGACAGCATGACCAATGAGCCCTTTCCCTTGTCCCCTCCCCCACCAGGCTGGCTTTGGATACCCACGCTCAGCTAACTAAGGTCCTTGGGGCCATTCCCTAGCCTCCAGACACAGACATCAGAGGCCACATTTGGTAGTGGTGAGGAAGAGATACTGAGGTCAAACTGCCAGGTCTCCAATTTCTTCACCAGGGGAGCCTCGGGCACGTGGCTTCACCGCTCTCGGGTGCAGATTCCTGTCTATAAAATGGGACCAAATGCATCTGCCTCCAACAGCCATCCAACCTTGGAGAGATGAGCTGTGCTTAGCACAATGCCTATGTGTAGAATGAACATTTCCTAGCTGCTCAGCACTAAAGATTCAGAAACCTGCCTGCCTTTTTAAAACCCAATTTTGCCACCTTCTGGTTATGTGACCTGGGGCAAGTTACTTTACTTCTGGGCCTCAATTTACTCATCTATAAAGTGGGATAACGGTACTGATGTCCTAGGGCTGTTGTGAGGATTAAACGAATTAAGTGCTTGGCACACAGCAAGCACTCACTAAACCTTAGCTATTGTTTGTGCCTTTGGGGTTTTGTTTGTTTTGTTTTTGACATATTATTCCCCACCTCTAAGTCTCTCAGAGGGTAGGAAACTGTCTGCAAATCTTCCTGGGCCCAGTTAGCTGTCCTACCTTCAGACTCACTTAAGAGCCCTTACACTGTAATCTAGGTCACCCTCCCCCTCAACCTCCCCAAGACACATGGACACACACAGAGGTCAGCAGAGTGGCCTCAGACACAGAAAAATGTTTAATTCTCCTGCGGCGGAGGGTCCCGGCTCCGGTAGGGAGGGGGATTTGGTTTTGGATTTTGTTCATGTGGGGATTTATTTGGGGGTTAAGAGGAAGGAATAGGGGAGAGTCTGGTCCTTCCAGTGGGACCTGCCCGGGAGAATGTGTACTGGGGAGATATAATCTGGAGAGACAAGGAGGCGGGACGCAATACGGGAGTTCAGAGGGAGAAGAGACAAACAGGGAAGGACGTAAGACAGAGACGACAGAGGGCGCGACAGAGACAAACGAAGGGAACAGAGAAAGGGGCACCCCAAGCCAGACCCGACGGGACCAGGGAATTGAATGGGGTGGGGGTGGGGGCTTTGGAGGCCTCCGCGGGACAGAATAGGATCTAGTCCAGCCAGATACAAGAAATGGGTCCCTCGCCCCTGCCCCGGGTCCCGGGCGGGGGGAGGGGTCTCGTGTCTCAGTGCTGCAGTGTCGGGGGGCCCTGCCCCTCCCCGCGCTTCGCTGTGTAAGGCACCGGCTCCAGCGAGGTCCGCGAGCGCGCGGGGGGAGGGGCAGGAGGGGGGCTTAAAGTCCGTGGGGGAGAGGAGCTCGGCGGCCCACCCTCAAACCCCCCTAAGCGCGGGGGCGTGACTTCGAGCCGCAGCCCAGGCCGCCCACCCCCTCCAGGGAGGAGAAGGGCACGCCTCCCCTGCAGTCCGACGTCTTTGCTCGGAGCTTTGTCCCCCGAGTCCTGCCCCGGCGTCCGGGCGGCTGGGCGTTTGTCCGCGGCACCCAGGCGTCCCGTCGCCCGCCAGCCGCTCACACGGTACTCTCCAGCATCCACTCGGTGCTGGTAAAGGCCAAGCGCGCCCTGGCGGCGCCCAGCCCCAGGTCTCCGTCCTCCCCGGCCGCGCCCCCTCCGGCCCCGTCCAGGTGCGGCGTGGACCGGTGGCGCTTTGTCCGCCGGGCGCGGCGCGGGTAACTGTGGCTCTGGAAGAGCGCCCCGTAGTCCCCGTCAAACGAATAGCGCTGCTGCGGTCTCGGCCGGGCCGGGGCTCCCCCAGGAACCAGAGCTAAAGTGGGGGGCGCCGAAGCCAGCGGTCCCAGGGCCCCAGAACGGCTCCTCCGAGGGCCAGCCGCGGCCCGGGACTCCTCCCCGGAGGTTTCCTCGGACGGCAGCAGGCACAGCGAGGTGGCTGAGCCGCCCAGGGAGCGTCCAAGGACCGCCTCCGGTTCCGCGGAAGCCGTGTCGGCCGCCACGGCCTTTGCCTCGACGGCCACCGCCGCAGCCGGAGCTGGCACCTCGCGCAGCGCCTCGTAGCGGTCTTGCGCCGGCGGGGGCGGGGCTTGCGTTGCGCCTGCGCCTGCGCCGTTGGTCTGAGAGCACACGTGGCTGACCCGCGGAGGCGACCTGGAGGTGCCCTTGACTCGGCGGCCATCCCCATCGCCGTAGACCTTGTAGCGGATCATGAGCAGAACTATGAAAACGAGGACGGAGGCGACAATGACACCCCCGATGGCGATGATCATGGTGCCGCCCAAGAAATGGGCCCTCAGTGGGCGGCAGGGCGCGGGATCCCCCGCCGTGGTAAACTGCACGCAGCCCACCACTCGGGTGGCGGGCAGCGCCGTGGCCCCATCGTCGTAGACGGCCAGCACGCACAGGTCGTAGGCGCGGCCCGCTGCCAGATCATTCACCAGGAAGGTCTGGCTGGTGGATGGGATCATCCTGCGGGAGGGGGCGGGATCAGCGCGGGGTTAGCTCCACTCTGAACCGCGATGCTTCAGTTGCATGTCCCACCCGGGGGGACCAAACGATACATCCCTACCAGTGTCTCACCCTCTACTGGGACAACAGCAGCCATTCAAGCAACAAATTCTCACCCTCTCAGGGCCTTTGATACAGCCCATGCCCCTTATCTGCATGCCCCACCCTCAGACCCACCCCCTGTCCGTGTCTCATCACCTACTAGGATAATTTTAGCCATTCATCTACCCTCATCTACATATCCTGGCCCCTGCCAGGGAGGAATGCTACAGTTTTTATGCCCTGCCCTCAAGGGGCATGCTCCCTAGCAGTCTCATTCCTACCAGGACAAATGCCATTCAAGCATTCTTATCTACATATTCCCACCTTTAAGGGGATGGATGCTACAGGCCACGCCCCCTTACCTGCATGCCCCACCCTCACTCAAGTGGACAGTGAGGTCACCTCACACCCCGTCTTACTCCTACTGGGGCAATGGATGCTCTTCTAGTTCCTCTCTTCTACACATTCTTGTCCTTTCGGGGAAACCATGATACAGACCACTCCCCCTCATCTGTACATCCTTGGGTATACACATCTCGTAGCTGCATCTATCTTCTGGGACAATTTCCAAGCCCCTCAACTACATATTTCCACCTACTAAGGGGCCAGGGCTAAAGGCCACTTCCCTTCTGATTGACAGGTGCCTTCCAAGCCACACCCCACAACGGTCCACTGGAGATGGTTCCCCTACTGTGCCTAGGACCATGTCCACTCTTTGCATGTCCCGCACGTGTCCAGGTAATAAAGGCAACCACTCTGTGCATGCCCTGCCCCTATACTGCCTGAAGTCACTAAAGCATGCCCCCCCGGTAAGTTTCATCCATAATTGGGGCAAATGTAGCCAAGAAAGCATGCTCCTTTCTTGCTATGGGCCCCTGCCCTCAAATGAGCAGCAGTGTAGAGAAGTGGTTAAGCTGACAAAGTCTGAGAGCCATGATGCCAGGGTTTGAGTTCTCTTCTGCTCCTTGCTAGCTCTGTGACCTCAGGCAAGTTTCTTAACCTCTCTGTGTCTCATTTCCCCCAAATGGGGGTATTAACAATTCCTACTCCATAGAGATGGCGTGAAGTATGATGAGTTAACATAGCCAAAGCCTGGCACTTAATAATTTCACTAACAGCTTGCGCCCCACACGATGCTGGCCGGTAACCCTTGCTGTGGCTCACACTCTCCTGCCAGCTGTGCCCCTCCGCATCTATAAGGCCATTCCCACTAGGCCTTGCCCCTCTTCTGTTGGCACATCCCTTTCATGTCCAGCCTCGGCTAACCTGGGACTGCCACATCCACATAGATTTGCATGCACTCAATCTCGCAAGCTCTCCTCTCCCACAAAGCTCTTAGTGGGTCACCAGAGACAAGAACCGCCTCTTCACCTGCGTGGGGACTACGCTGCAGGAGCGCCACCTCCTCTAAAGGCCATGCCCCCATCTCCACAGGCCACCTTCTGGTCCTGAAACCCACCTCAGTTCCTCCACCTCCAGAAGGTTCCACCCACCACCAAGAGCCATCCTCCCACCGAAAGACTTCAGGTAAGGCCCTCACCACCTCATAAAGGCCAACTACCTCTCTGACTCTCCCCCTGCCTGCCATTTCACAGACCAGTGGCCCCCCCAACCCCATCCAACCTTGGGCCCCTGGCTCTAAGGCTTCCTCTTCCTCTCATCATCCCTTCTCAAAGAGCCTTGGATTCTTTTTGCTCCTTCCCCCAAAATAACCAGTTGCTAGGGACTCCCCCCTTTCCAAGGACAGAGGCTGGCTCCTTAAGAAAGCTTGAGCCCATGTGTCTCTAATTGGCTGTAAGACCCAAGCAAGCAGCAGAGCAGGCTTCTGGTTGGTTGTCACCTCCGCCCATGGCGGCAGTGAGGAAGTTAACCCCTGCAGTGCTGTAGCACAGGGGCCTGCAATGGGGGACGGAGGATTGGAACTGTGGCCCTACAGGGAATGGAAGAGTCCCAGGGTCTGTTGCCCAGCTGGAGACAGAGGGCCACCAACGTCGGCATACATGCAGGGTCTGGGGACCTGTAAACCTCCCTCCACTCCATCATGTAGTGACCATGGGTTAGAGAGAGAAGGAAAAGAGAAAGAGAGAGGTGGAGAATCACAGAAACCAAGAGCTGTTTACAGAAATGTATTATCCATCTCCCCTAATCCCTGCCTGGCAAACAGTAGGTGCTCGATAAACATGTGTTCAGTGTAAAAAGGGCAGAATTAGGTGTTAGAAGGGTAAGAACTGGAATCCTGGCTCTGCCTCTTTCTGTGTGACCTTGAGCAAGTGACTTCCCCCAACTGAGCCTCACTTTCCCCTGTCTGTAAAATGGGAGGGGGATCATGGCTGCCTCACAGCGGAGTTGGGAAGGTCGAATGGAGTAGAATCCTTGGTAGCACGTTATAAAAGTTTTTGTTTTGTTCATTTGTTTGCCCTAATGTTTGTAAGACTGGGCCAGTGTTTGATCCATCTCAGTAGGCCCGGGCCCAGCATGGAAACTGGCATGCAGTAGGCATTTATTCAGTGTTTGGTGACCAGATTCAAAAAGAGAGGAAAATGAGGATGACAGAGACAAGAAAAAAGGAAGGCATCTACTCATTCAACCAACAATGGGAAAATGCCTACTGTGTGCCAGGACCGTGGCCAAGAGAACACTGGGCAAGGTGAAGATGGAGCCCAAGAGGCAGACTTCTCAGTGCAGGTCTGAGCACCCCCAAGATCTGAGGTTGCCCACGGGTGGGGAAATGGCTCCACCCGCTCTGGCGCCCCCAAGTGAAGTCAAACACAGGATTAAGCATTCAGTGGGCACTCTACAGTGTGTCCAAGGGAGGCAGAGCCAGGATGAAGGAGAGACGTCCACAGAGTCCACAACCACCTTTCAAACTCTCCCACTGTGTGCCAGGTCTGTGGCCGTGAGCCACACTCAAAAACTACCCAGCTGGAGAGGCAATGCAAGGCCAAGGCTGTTAATTTTTCGTGTACTGCCTCCTCCCTCTGGGCTGTGAGCTCCCTGAGGGCAGGGACTGCTCTCTTGGTCTCCCTGTGTCCCCTGCACCCAGCTCAGGGCCTAGCAGAGAGCAGGGGCTTAGTGCCTCATGAGGGCAGGAGGGAGAGAAGGTACAGACAGAGACATGGCGAGAACAAGAGAAAATCAGATGATGGGGGAAAGTAACTCTTTAACATCTGTCTACACCACACGTGTCTGTCCTCACTGGGGCGATGGCTTCTAACCCAATGGATGGTGGAAATAATTTGTATTTATATCTTTTTCTCATACTTTTCTGTCTCTATAATGTACCCAATGTATTGATACAGTAGCACTGGTATATAATTTCCAAATATAAATGTAACTGTAAATATATATGTGTGAGTATATTTCATGCTCTAGAATGTTTAACTGACAAGGTAGACAATCAGACACCTTTGGCGAGCAGTGATGTAGACCATGAGCCCCATGAGAGCAGGGATCATGCTGGGTGCACTCACAGTTATAACTCCAGTGCCCAGCCCTGGTCTGGCTCATGTGGGTGCTAAACGAAGATATGCAAAATGTGTGAAACACAAAGACAGTGAGACAGAAAGAGAGAGAGAAGGAAATATGGCAAATGAGAGCCGGAGACCACTCTACATACCCATCTAGAACCCCAGCTGAGCAAGAAGGCCTAGTGAGCCGGCAGATGGGAGGGAGGGCCCCTGGGGTGGGAGGAGGTCCTGGGACTGCAGCACCCACCTGTAGACAAGGGAGTCATCTGCGGAGCTGTTGTACTGGACCTGGTACATGCGGATGCCAGGCACGGGCCTCTGGGCTGGCCAGCGGATGAGCACGGAGCTGGAGGTGAGCTCGGCAGCCACAAGCCGGCGCTCAGCCCCAGATTCATTGGCACCAGGTCGGCCAGGTGTGGCGATGTCCGAGGAGCCAGGCTCGGTGAGAGGTGGTGGGGCGGCCGGTGGGGGCGCCATCAGAGGCAGAGGCACCACGCACACCTCCACCGGTGCCGTGGCTTCCCCGGCGGCGTTGGAGGCTATACAAGTGAACGTGCCACTGTCCCGCAAGGTGGTGATGGTTACATCCAGTGTCCCATCCCCCCGGACCCGGGTCCGGCTCGAGTTCCCCAGCAACCGCCCATCAGGTGCCACCCAATGCACTACCGGCTCAGGGTCACCCACAGCGCGGCACCGCAGGCTGACCGCCTGGCCCTCCACCACCAGGGCCCGGCCGCCTGCCTGCCGAGTGATCAACGGAGGTTCACACAGGAACTCCTCCTCGGGGATGGACCAGAAGTAGCGGTCGGTGAGGTGCTCAGGGGTGGCGCACGTCTCCAGGTCATCCTCCCTCGTCAGCCGCCGCAGCCAGAGCAGCTCGCAGTTGCAGTGCAGGGGGTTGCCGCCGAAGCTGACCGTGAGCGGCGTGGGTGGCTTTGGCCCGGGGCCTTGGGACCTCAGGAAGAGCCCGTCAGGGGGCAGTTTATGCAGGCGGTTGGAGGTCATGTCCAGGCGAACCAGTTTGTGAAGCTGCACGAAGGTACCTTCGGCGATGTGGTCGATCAGGTTGTGGTCCAGCGTGAGGGTGTTCAGGTTCACCATCTGGCCTACGGCCTCCCACGGCAGGGCCTCCAAGTTGTTGTAGGACAGATCCAGGTCCTCCACGGTGGAGAGAAAGGCGTCGAAGGCGGCCGACTCCACCCGGCGGATCTGGTTATTGCCGAGGATCAGGTGGCGGAGGTTGCCCAAGCCGCGGAGCTGGTCGCCCCGGACCTCCGCCAAGCGGTTGCTGTCGAGGTGCAGGGCGCGGAGGGCGCGGAGGTCTGCAAAGGCGCCGGCCGCCACCTGGCCGATGGTGTTCCGGGAGAGGGTGAGGTGCACCAGGCTGGTCATGTTAGCGAAGTCTCGGCGGCGGACGGCCGCGATGAAGTTGTCGGTGAGCCGCAGCTCCACCACGCGCCGGTCGATGGCCGGAGGCACAAAGAGCAAGCCGGTCTTGGCGCACAGCATGGTCAGCGTGGGCGCCACGTTCTGGCAGATGCAGCGGCCGGGGCAGGGCTGGCCTCGAGATGCCCCCGCCCAGAGAAGCAGCAGAAAGGGCAGGGCAGCAGGCGGCAGCGAGAGGAGCGCCGAGGAGAAGGGGCCCGGAGCCATGGTGCAGGGGGAAGACGGGAGGAGTGGGAGGTGAGATCTGCAAGGAAGGAGAAGGGTCACCCAGGCGTAGGGCTTGACCACCAGCCTGGCCACCCTGGGATTTCCTGCTAGGAGTCCGACCCAGATCCCTCCCTTCCTGACAAGCGGGTCCTTTAGAACAGTGACAAGACTGATCATCAGCTGGCATGCACTTGTTAATAGGTAACAGTATTTCCATTGCTGCTTGGTAAATTACCACTGCCCCGCCTCTGAGGGTCCTACCCACCTCTGCCCTTCTTCTAGGAGCTCCCAGACCTCTTATAATCTCACAACCAGAGGGACATCATCTGGCCCAGCCTGTGTCTTCCACTACCCATGATGTATTTTGAAAAATCACTGCTGACTAGGGCTTAAAGGCATGGATTTCAAAGCCATACTCCCTGGGTTCAAATTCCAGCTCTGACACTTACTAGCTGTGTGACCTCGGGCAAGTGTCTGAACCTCTCTGAATCTCGGTTTCTTCATCTGTAAAATGGAGATAAAAACAGGCCTTACCTCTGTGAGGATTAAATGGATTAATGAGCATGGTATACTCAGAACAGTGCCCAGCACATAAAATGTGTTCAATACATGTAAGTGGATAATTATTATTATTATCATCGTGTCCAATATGTGCCAGAGATAGAAATGTGCACTATTATTAAGAGCAAGGGCTTTAGATCAAATAGACTCAGGTTCAAGTCCTGGCTTCCCCAGTTTGCTAGCTCTGTGACCCCAAACCAATGATTTTCCCTAACTAGGCCATAATTTCCTGATTTGTAAAATGGTCTGATAATTGTACTCTCTTCATTGGGTTGCTGCAAGAGTTCAGTGAACTCATTCATAGGGGTCACTGAGCATCGGGCCTGGCACACAGTAAGTATTCAGTAAATATTAAGGGTAATACCCCCCCCACAACCTCTGGCTGTAGCAGAGGGGTTCTGAAGGTGGGAGAGGCTGAGAAAAACACATCAGTCTCCCTGCTCAGTCTTGAGAAGTCTTTCTCTGAGGCTGGTTTCATCCTGGGCTCTGCTGAGCTCCCACACAGGGGGCAGGCTTTCATGCTCACATTAATGGGCACAACACAAGGCCCCATATATGCCTACACACACACACACTCACACACACACACACACACACACACACACTCACACACACAAAATCAGGCTGTGCCTCTGCTCCAGGCAAAACCTTCCGGCAGGGATTCCCCCTGCGGCAGCTGCAGCCCACGACATGTCAACTCCATCACAACACAGGGTGGGTGGGGGGTGAAGAGAAAAGGATGGGAAGGGGGGGGTCCCTGAAACTGTTTTCACCCCACCCCATGCCCCAGTCCCTGCTGGCCCACCTCCCAGGAATCTGCATTTGGGGCCTGTGACCTGATGTGGCCTTGATCCTTCGGCCCATGGGGAGGGGGGCTGTGGACACAGGGAAGGGACCAAGAGACAGAGACAAGGGGGAGGGAGAGATGGACTCACAGTTACAGAGAGACAGATTCAGAGAGAGAGACAAAGAGATAACAAGAGAAAGAATCTGAAAGAAAGGTGAAGAGACAGTAAGACTGAAGCAAAGAGAGCCAGAAAAACTGGATGGAGGAGACATACACAGAAAAGAGAGACTGAGACACAGAGATGGAGAGGGTGAGAGACAGGAAGAGAAAGTAAGAGTGTTATAGAGACAGATAAAGACGGGAAGAAAGAGAGAGACTGAGGGAGACGGTGATGGGGCTGAAGAGAGAAAAAGGCAAAGTCAGGGTATCCCACCATCTCTGAGGCCCCCCACTAATTTGTCTTGCACTCCCTCCAGGACGCTGCTCTACAATGGACAGAAAACCCTGGCCTGGGAGGTGGCGCTCCCAAGGTAGGAGGCCCAGCTCTGTACCTGCTTGGCAGTAGGGTCTCTAGGGCTCAGAACCACAATCTATGCAACGGGAAGTCCCACAGCTTGGGTGGGACTCAAGTTGAAACTGTAATAATAACACTGAAAATAGCTAACATTCATCGAGAGGCAGTGCAGCCTTGCCGGACAGAATGTGGCCCCAACCTTTCCAGGTTCACACCCCCAATTCCCTGCTGTGCGACTTTAATCAGGTGACTTCCTCTCTTTGTGCCTCAGTGTGTTCGTCTGTAAAACAAGGAGGACAGCGCCTGCTATAATCACAGGATTATCGTGAGGGTTAGATGAGATGATACACTGCAACATGCTTAGAGTAGCTGCTGACAGAGTAAACACTATATAAACGTTAGCTGTTATTAGCGTTAAATTATCGTTTTCTCTGGCTTTTTCTCAGCCACCAGCAGGTCTGAGTATCAGGAGATTTTCCCACGTACATGCACATACACACACACAATGGTAAACTATATCCACGCCACTCTCCAAATGCAGGGTCCTATCACGTCAGGAAGCTCTTTTGGATCCTTTACCGATATGTGGAAACTTCCCTTTTCCGACCACTTGACTCATCCTGAAAGGGGATGCCTCCAGGTCTGAGGCCACCACCTACCACCCATGCCATGGTTCTTTCGAGCCCTTACCCAAACACGATGTTCCTGACCTTGTCCCTACCCCCCAGCCTGGGGGGCACCTGGTCCCTGCCATACCCGCCACTGAAATCCATACAAGGCAGTGTTCCAGGCCTCCAGTTGGCTCAGAACAAGCCCAGTCACTCCACATCTCTCTCCCCAGCCTGTGGGACCCCCACTCACCTCTCTTCAGGGAATCAGGGCCTGGGCCAGTACCTACAAAGGAACAAAACCACACCGTTAACATTCTTCTGGCTCCTCCCCAGAGACCTGCCTCAGAGACCATCTCAGCCAAGGAAGTCCCTGGTGTGATCACTCTCTCAGCTCTCCTGCTACAGATTCTGCATAGTCTCAGGTGGACCCAGGAAGTCATCTCTGGAAACCAAGGAGTCTGGGCCTAAGACTGTTCACCCTCCAAAACCCAAGAGTCTAGGACTTTTGTCCTTTGTCCTCTGGGGGCTCAAGAGGCTAAGAACCCCACCCTCCCCTTCCCTCAGATTCAAGAGTCCAGGTCTCAGTTCCTTCCTTTCTCAAGACACAGGACTCTGGCCCCCCAGCCCTCTTCTCCTTCAAACCCAGGATTCTAGGCTCCCAGCCTCCTCCTTCCAGAATCCACATCCCAGTCCCCCAACTTCAAAGACCTGAACAGTACCAGGAGCTGGGGGAGGACCAGAGATTCTCATCTGCACCATCACACCACTGTCACACCAACATGTGTGGACATGCCAAAACCCACATGGGCCCACAACCCACGACTCTCCATCTGGATTTCCATGGACACAGCAGCATGATCTGTGTGCCCCCTGCCCTCAACAGGCTCTTGGTCCAGGATGTGGGCACACTTGTATCCATGGATCCCAGCATACCACAGGTCATGCCACATGGGCCCCAATTCACTGGGCCCATAAGTGGGGTCAGCCTTGTGTCAAGGACACAGGCACATGTGCGCATATCATCCTGAATATATGTATTTGAACATACACAACCCCACCCCCAGAGACCAACGTGAACACAAAAATGGACTCACAGTATAGACACATACCCTCAAGGTTGACACACCGACACACAACCACACATACAATATTGCCTTTTCCCTTGTACACTCACACACAGATGCACACACACAACAGTGAAACCCACGTGTCCCCAGGTGCGTGCACCTATAACCGATCTACCCTTGCACACTCACCAACACACAGGGGCACACACATATAACAGATGCTCACTCGCACAAAGATACACAGGTGCATGCTCTTAGATGCCCAAACACACTCATGCAACTTCACATATCCCCATGATGCACGGTCACAAAGCTGATACATTACTACACCAACAGATGCACAAATGCACACACTCGCGAATACACACCTCACACACATACACAGAACCACAACGTGCACAGACACTTACAAGGCTGATACATACTCAAACAAGCACACAGGTACAGAAAGATCCACCTTTGCACAGACACTCCCAGGTGTTCACTCATAACATGCCCACACAACTGCCCTGTGAGGGATTTACACACTTACAAATACACACAAAATATTGAACCACAGTGGCACAGTCAACAGATAAGCAGAGAATCCCAGTCACACACAGTCATGGACACACATGCCTCCCAGCCCTGAGGCACCCCCGCCCCACCTACTTCCCAGGCCAAAGAAATCCTAACATCCCTCCCTCCCAGCACAACCCCTCCCCAGCCAGGTCAGAGTTCAGCAGGTCGAATCTCAGAGGGTTGGGGGCCTGAGTCGTAGAGCATTGGTCCAAGGCAATCCTCCCACCAGCAGCCCAAAGGTCCCTCAGCCTGGCTATCTGGATGCAGGCAACTCCGGCCCCATCTGCGGAGATCTGGCCGGTGAGGGAGTGGGGTGGGATGGGTGTGGGAAAGGGCCGGGTCTGCGTCCCTCCCCTAGGGCCCATCTGTCCATCCCTCGGCCTCTCATCCCTCCATCTGTCCACCTACCGGCTGCCCCGCCCCCCCCCCCCCCCCCCGGGAAGGGGACGACGGGGCCCGCCCCCCCCAGGGCCGGCGCCCCCCCCCCCCCCCCCCCGGAGTTGACATGGACCGAGGAAGCGGCAAACTCCCCTCCCCCAAACCCACACAGAGGCCTGGTCCCACGAGGCGCTGAGCCCCAGCCCCCCGCCGGGAACCTGACATGGACGCACAGACACACACCCTCGGAGACATACAACCCGCAGACACACACACACACACACACACACACACGCACAAATGGACACCCAAGCGGGCACACCCGGCTACACAGATCCTGGGATGGACATCCAACCCGGACACAAACACCCAACGCAGCTAGCCGCGCGAAGACACTAGCTGAGGGGGGGGGGTAGGGTGGGGGACCCACACCTGGGCACACAACCCACGCACACACACCTGCACACAGCCCCTCCGATGGGCGCGCGACAGCCCCCCAGACACACAGCAGGAGGGGCAGTCACCCGGGGGGACACACACGCACGGCAGGACACAGCACCTCGGCTCGACACCCGGCACACACCCGGATGGCCACACAAGCAGGGCGCCGCACACGCCGGCGCCGGGCACACAGAGGGCCGCGCGAGCGCACGCCGGGCCCGCCGCAGCGCCGCGGACACACACTCACACGCTCGCACGCTCACACCGGCGCTCACACCGGCGCCCCCGCCCGCCGCCTCCCTGGCCGCTGCGGGCCGCGCTCACCCAGTCAAGGGGGGCCCCGGGCCCGGCCCCGCCGCCGCTGCCTCGCTCCGCGCCATGGTGGGGGGAGGGCCGGGGGAGGGGGCGCGGTGCCGCGGGGCCGCCTCCCTCCCGCCTCCCGCCTCCCTCCCGAGCCGCCGCCGAGCTCCGCCCTCCGCACCGCCCGCCGCCGGAGCCCCGCCGCCGCCACCACCGCAAGCGGGGAGGGGACGCCGACCGGAGGGGCCGGGCGGGGCGGCTGCACGCCCCCGCCCCCCGCCCCTGGGCCAGCTGCAGACCCCTCTCCCCTGCGGAGCTGCCGGCCCGCCCCCAACCCCTCCCCAGCCCCACCTCCAGCCCTGCCGGCTTCCCGGGAGACCACCAGACCACGCCCCGAGTGGCATGGGGAACCCGTGAAGCCCCAGTGGAGACCTCGGATCGTGTCCCAATGCCCAGGGGGACTCCAGATCATGCCTTACCTCCTTTGAGAACCCAGACCATGTTCCTCAGCCACCCAGGACCACAAATCATGTCCTACTCTCCTTGGTGACCTCAGACTCTGCCCCAAACCCATCAGGGACCTTAGTCTGTACCCCCAAATCTAAGGGGACCCCAGACCACATCCCAGCATCCAAGGGGATCCACAGCACCCCCATCAGGGACCGTAAGTCATACCCCAACATTCAGGTGGACCCCAGACCACACCCCATCACTCAGGGCCCCCAGATCACACCCCAACATCCAGAGAGGATTCAGACTATATGTCAACATCCAGGGAGACCCCAGATCGCGCCTTACTCCCTTTGGGGACCCAAACCATGTTCTACAGCCACTCAGGACCACAAACCATATCCCACTCCTTCCTGGGGACCCTCTATGTCCTTCTAACCTCTCGACCTCAAACCATTCCCTGCCCCCCAATAGGAACTCCAGACCACGTCTAACATCTAGGAGGCCCAAATATGTCTCTTACCCACATGGGAGACCCTAAATGTTCCTGATTACCCCCATTAGATCCCAGACCGTCCTCCCCTCCAAGGCACCCCTTGGTTTACAGAATGCCCAATTTGCCCCAGATTCTTGATCTTCCTCCCCACCGGTGCTGCCCTCCTGAGGACCCAGCCTCCTCCCCATTCCTATTCTCTCTCTTGAACCCTGAAGACCTTTCTCCCTCCCTGTGACTTCTGTGGAGTCCAGAATGCCTTGTCCCTTCCTTTTTAGACCCCTTTGCCCAACTCCTATCAAATAGCTGACCCCCAGCCCTTCTCCCACTGAGTATCTCAGGCCACTTTCCACCTCTTTTTGAGATATTCACTGGCCCCTAAACCCAGCAAGTCCTCCCCTCAAAATCTGTCTTATTGCAATTCCCCAGCTTCCTGGGGGCCCAAATCCCTCCCATTTTGAATCCCATTTGGATTCCAAGGTCTTCCCCTAAACCCCTTCCCTAAATTCTTCCTAGGCACATCATCACATGGAGCTTGCCCTGCCCCCCAGATCAAGGGCATCTCTGCAGAGCTTCCCTCTAGTGAACCTCCCTCTAGTGAAGCTCCAGTGAACCACTCACAACCATTAGATGCCCCTGGGGACACTCACAATCCCACCTCCCACCCCCTAGTCTTTAGATTTCACCATCACCATCACCATTACCACCACCACCCAGGCACCATCCCCACCTCTCACCCTGATATTTGGTGCTCCCTGCCAGGATGTGGAGGACCAGGGCTGGGAGGACAGATGTGGGAGAATAATAACAGCAACAGCAAAAGTGGACACGTGTCAAACACTACTATGTACCAGGAGTGGATCTAAGGGCTTCACATATATGACTCCATTCACTCTTCACAGCAGCCAGATGAGGAAGTCGCATTATTATCCCCATTTTACAGATGAAGAAAATTGAGCCACAGAGAGGTTTAGTCACTTGCCTAAGGTCACACAGATGGTAAATGTCAGAACAAGGTGGAGGCGAAGGGGAAAGAGGGTGAGGGCAGGCCTGGGATGGACAGGAGTGGAAGGGGGCGGGGCGGTGAGAAGTTAATAATAAGAGAGACAAAGGTATACAGAGATGGAGAAACAAAGAGCCTGAGCCCAGGCAGAGACAGCCTCACTCACAGAGCATATCTGGCCCTGTGAGCTCTGGCCCCTGCCCACCTCTTGACATCATCCCTGACCACGCTTGTCTTTTAGCCTCAATAATGAATTTTCTCTTCCTCCAACATACCACCTCAATTCCAGCCCCTTGGCCTTTGCACTGTTTTCCCCTTCCATGGCTGATCCCATCTTTTCATTCAATTCTTAATTCAAATGTAATCTCTTCAGAGATCTCTTTCCCATGACCAATTTACATCCCCACCACCACCAATTCTCCTGATGTCTGCAGATTACTTTGAAATACTTTAAAAATAAAAATGGATTAATGGATGGATAGATGGATGGCTATGTGATAAAGCAAGTACAGTCAAAACGTTAATGGTAGGGAATTCCCTGCCAGTCCAGTGGTTAAGACTCCAAGCTTCCAATGCAGGGGGCACAGGTTCAATCCCCAGTCAGGGAACTAAGATCCCACATGGCACATGGCGCAGCCAAAAAGAAAAGTTAATGGTAGAATCTAGGTGATGGATATATGGGTGTTCACTGTAAAATTATTTCAACTTTGCTGTATGTTTGAAATTCTTCATGATAAATGTTGGTGGGGAAAAAACCAGAGGACTCTTCTAAAGACTAAAGAGGCGGCAAAAAAAAAAACAAAACTCAGATGGGTCCCACCATTTTTATCATCCCATCACCTCATTTTATTTCCTTCATAGCCCTATCACTCTTACTAATACTCTTGTTTGCTTGTTGTTTACCTATTTATTGTTTACTTATTTGTTTATTGCTTATTGTCTAGTCATTGAAATGTAAGCCACCTGAGAGAGGTGGCATGGGCACCAATTTTCTCCAGTGTCCAGAGTAGTAATTGGCACCCAGTAGGTGCTCGGTAAACATGTGTTCTTGAGCTCCTCTTAAGAGAGGGTCTGGAAGCTAGATCTGCTGCAGACTCACTGGAGAGCCCACACTCAGGAGTACACAGGATCTCCCAGCCTGGGGTCCCTGCAAGGGGAAGGATATACCCCAGAGGCAGGCGAATGCCCCATGAGGTCAGGGAATGTGAGATGGCCTGAAAAACAGGGCAACAGGTGGAAGCTGGTAGTATGATTAATTCCCTGGGGCCCTAATTCCTGACCTAGACCAGCTAATAGAGATCCAATCTAATTCTTCAACAACTTAGGCCCTGCCCCCAAGCATAGGCTCCACCCTCTGTCTCTAAGGCCCCACCCCACAGCAAAATCTCTGCCCTATCTGACCTAAATAAATAACACCCCTCGGGACATCTCTGGTGGGCCAGTGGTTAAGAATCCCCCTTCCAATGCCCGGGACACGGGTTCTATCCCTGGTCGGGGAACTAAGATCTCACATGCTGCGGGGCAACTAAGCCCACACGCCACAACTAGAGAGCCCATGTGCCACAACTACAGAGCCCACGCGGCCAGAGCCCACGGGCCACAACTAGAGAGAAGCCCACGCACCACCCCCCGCAAGGAAAGATTCCGCATGCCGCAACTAAGACCCGAGGCAGCCAAAAATAAATAAATAAATAAATACTTTAAATAACACCCCTCAAGCCTAGGTCTCACCCTCACAGCCCAAGCCCCACCCCTTTACCTTAGTCACCACCCTAAAATTTATAACATTCATACTTCTTCAGCCTGGGCCCTGCCCCCACCTAAGCCCCACCCCTCCACCTTAGGCTCCACTCCAAAAGCGTCAAGCTTTCAGCCTAGGCACTGGCCCTTCAGGCCTAGCTTGGGTACCCCATTCTCAGCTCCGACCTAACGTCCAGTCTTCACCTGTTCAACATAAGCCCTGCTCACATTCAAGGTTAGCAGGGAGAAGTGCCCCAGGAAAAGCATAGGGAGCCTGGATTTGTGGGAACCTAGCGGGGAGGTTGGTGGAAAGAGAGGAGGTGTCTCCCAGTTTGTACCGCCCCTCAAAGGCCTGGCCCCAAACCAAAAGCAACGCCCCATTGAGCCCACTTTGCATTGTACAGCGGTATTCTGTTCTGACCTCCTTGATTGGTCCCTCCACAAGCCCTCTACTCAAACCTACTCTGCATTGGACTGCCCCTCAGAGTCACCCTCTCTGATTGGTCCCTGCTTTCCAAACTCCTTGCTCCTGATTGGGCAAGTCCTT